AATGTGGGAGAAAACATTTTGTTTCCAAACCAATCTCCCATTTGGTCGCTTTTAAGTTCAAGGGGGCTATCCTGGTAAAAGCTGTTTTGAGAAAATCGAAGGTAAAGCTTAGTTTCCTAAAAAGACAAGAAAAGTTTTCTCTATAACCAAACAAATATACACACAGCTGAAACCGAACTTCTCCTAGGTAGGCTACCGCCCACTTTTGGTGTAGGTTAAGATTTCTGGAAACCACCGAAGTGTGGGTTAGCCCGCTTGTCCTTAAAAGTCATCAATTGTGTGTCAGAAAAATACGAACATTCCCACAAATCAGTTTGATGACATCAGTCAATAAAAAGGGAGGCACACAGTGGTGGTTTGATTTCGTTTCGCCTGCTGAATCCATAAATTATTTTCACACTTCGAACTACAATCACAGAGTTAACGACGATGGCACAAGCACAAGCTTCGGATAAGCCTGTAAATTCGTCGATTCCCAAAGTAAGCTATTCGTTGACAAAGATATTCGAAGATCTCGTACATCAAGTTCAATGTGGTTCGCTTTGCTAAAAGAGTATCCGTGTCCACGAGAATTGTCAGGTGTCACTGTTCGGTGTTTTTTTTTGTGGGTTTATTTCTGGGAAGGGGGGGGGGGGGAGTTGTTCTTTGTTTTTAGTTGTTTTGATAAGTTTTCTTTGGTTTCTCGAGAAGAATAATAACTCATCTTTTAGTTGTAAAAACCACTTTTATTGTTGTATTCCCGTACTCAGCTGGGTTCTCATAAACCACGGCATTATGGCCTCCCAAGCACAACTAAAGTTACTTAAACCTCAGACACGATCTCCACTTTCTCTGAAAAACAAAACCCAACAATATTCAGCGGTCGGTCTTTAGTTCCCTTTTCTTACAGTTGTGCTTATTGTAGTAGTCTGAGACCTGGCAACTTTTTACGTAAGCTACTGCAAAACCGCGGACACATTTTTTTTTCTTTTAAAAAAATGTTTTACGGCGCTCGCGACTATATATAAGGTCTTATGAGCGTGCGGGACTCATTAAACATTTTCAATAGGTAGGAAATTTTGAATTTTGCCAGAATGGCGGCCGAAGCTTACTCTGATCAATTTTAGACGGCCAATGGACCTTTAAGGTGCGCAACTTGCACACGGGACCTCTCAGATTTTTTGCCCTTATCCAAGAAGGCTAGGTGTAGATCTTACCTACTATAAGATCAGGGGTGTGACTGAAAAACAACATTAAGAAGGAGCTAAGGAGTAGCAGTAGAAAGGCGGCAGAAAGAGTCAGAAGCCAAGAGGATAGGGCAAAGGAGGTGAGGGGATGGGGCAGAAAGTGGAGACAAAAGCAGAAAACATAACATTGTTAAAGAACAGGAAAGGAGGTGAAAGGAAAAAAAAAATTAGAGAAGAAAATTTTCCGTCCCTACCCGGATTCGAACCCGGGACCTATTGAATAAGAGGCAAACACCATAACCTCTAGACTATGAGAACCCGTCATCCGTGTCCACGCCAATTCTCAGGTGGCGCTACTGTCACTGAGGTTTATTTTTGTTCTTGTAGGTTTGCTTTTTAAAAAAGTTTTCTTTTGTTTCCCAAGAAGAAAAATAACTAACTAATTTTTTAGTTGTAAAAACCACTTTTATTGTTGTATTTCCGTACTCAGCTGGGTTCTCATCAACCACGGCATCAGGGTCTCTCGAGCACAAATAAAGTTACTGTCACTGTTATAGGACAACTTGTGGTAGCCTCTTGGATCTCAAAAATCCTATACGACAAATTTGTTCACTCCTCTCTTTGAGCAACAACAAAACAAGCGTCCTCAAAATGGCCGATGGCGTCACTTGTGAGTTTGCGCGTACTTGGCGATTAGTTGTCAATGGCAGGACGAGTAGCCTAACTAATACACGTATATCAGAGATTGCTACTTCTACTACGCTCTCAATGCAGTTTCACGCGACAAAACAAAATTCATGGTTGGGTTTTATTTTGAACTTTGGATGATTCATTCTACCATCAAGTGAAGCAGTTGTGTGCCTGATAAAATCATTAAAGACCTTATTAGATCTCAGTGTATCGACTTCAATACTCGGAGCTCTTCCATTCAACCCGCTTTGGAAAAAAAGAAAAAGAAAAAGCAAACAAAAAGGGAAGACAGAAAAAAAAAAGTCTGCATCGACGGCCAGGTGGTGCCGCTCTCGCTGTTTTAGAGCTTTCTTTCTTTCTTTTATGGAGAAAACAATTATCCCAAACTTTAGCCTAGTTTGAAAAGCACATGTTATTACATGTATAGTTGTATCTTACTGCCATCAGCTGTTCATCCACCTGAGTTTTTAATCAATTATTACACAACTCACTAGATCTGTCATGGCCTCTGAGGCTCAAATGAACGTCGAAAATGATCGCCCCTAGTCCCCGAAGACGGGGAGTGACAACAGTCAATAATTTGATCTTTAATACGAATGGGTTTGTTTTGAAATTTGTTTTGTTTTGTTGCTGTTGTTGTATAGTTGTTGCATTTGTATTTGTTGTTGTAGTTGCTGCTGCTGCTGCTGTTGTTGTTGATGATGTTTTCAATGTTGCTGTTGTTGTTTTGTTGCTGTTGGATTTTTATTGGAGGTAGTATGTGCTGGGGTTTTTTAAACGTTTTTTTCCAATCCAAAGACATTGCAATTATTCAAACGACTATCCTTAAATTGTATGTTTAGATAATAAAATAAAATACCTGATTCTAGAACATGTTAACTAATTTTTCAGATTAACCTTGAAGACCTGTTGCTGGGCTCAGGAATGGACTACACCCTCCCTCACGCAGTGTTGGCGTTGCTGCAAGAAGAAAACTCTCCCCACGCTCCGAAATCTTACTACATCAGCTCCAGCACGAAGTCTACCAAAATCACGCTTATCTACACTCGACGAAAACGAGAAAATGCGACTGGTAGCATCAGAGAACCACCAAGCCAAATGCCACATTGCACACCCCAAGGAATGAATAAAGGGAAACAACAACACAACGGCTACAGCACGCCAGTAACTCCTCACTGCGCCCCACCGCGCTCTCACGCCTTGGCAACAGGGAAATTCTGCGGCCACACTAACAAATCCAGCCCCAGAATCTGTGCGTCCACCCCGGGTAGAGGATATAACGACCGAGAACGCGTACACACTAAGCACAACAAGCGAGCCACAGACCCTATAGGACACAGTCCGCACAAAGATCACCACCACGTATCCATCAACCAGCTCGTTGAACAAAATGGCGACCATTCCGGTTCGGAGAGCGAGTTATCCAATCACTACATCGCCCTGTCCCCGAGCTCGTTGGGCAGCGAGAAGCCATTGACTCCCGGCCGAGACTTCGACCCGTCCACCTCTCCGCGACCTCCGACCCCTAACGCCAACAACTACGCCAGTCTTATGTCCAACGTGAGCGCTGACCTGCTGAATCCTCACATCGCCGTGTACCACACTCGCTCCCGGCAACCCACCATCGAGTACGACGATGAGGACCTCTCTCCTCCGCCAACCCCTTGCGTCCGCCGCACGCCACGTGAGAGGCGTGACACCGCCAAGCGGCATCCTGACGCCAGCGGAGACAGCCAGAGCAGTGTGTTTCTGGAGGACAGCGATAAGAGTAGTCAGGGTGTGGGGGAGAACGCACAGCCGGGAGAACTGACCATAGCTTCCATGATCGAGGAGAACATCAAGGTCCATCACGTGGAGAGCTCGGCCTGCTCCAGCCCGTCCATAAGGAGGTCACCGTCGCCCGAGGCGAGGAGACTGGCGGCCAGACCGCCCGAGAGGCGCCCGGATCTGTGCAGGGGGAAGTCGCTGGATGGTCTCCAGCGTCACTGAGCGCTTGTGTTGTTGGGGAATTGAGGGGGAGGAAGCGTGTTGGGTCAATAGTGAACTTTGAGTGCAGGGACAGGCAGGCAGACAGACTGACGGAAAGGCAGACAGGCAGACTGGCAGGTAGACGGAAAGACAGATAGGTAGACAGACAGACAGGTAGGCAGGCAGGCGGGCGGAAGGACGGACTGACTGACTGACGGACGGACGGGCGGACTGACGGACGGACAGACAGACAAACAAACAGACAGACAGACAGAGGGAAAGGAAAGAAGTGGGGCCTGCCTATGGTGCTCTCCAACCACCTGTTCAACTTGTTCACTGCCACAGATGGGCAAGTCATGATATATTAAGGGAGCCTCACGTGGCTTGTCGTGTCATTAGGGGCAAGTCATGATACATCAAGGGAGCCTCCCATGGCTTGTCGTGTCATTAGGGGCAAGTCATGATATATTAAGGGAGCCTCGCATGGCTTGTCGTGTCATTAGGGAGTGAGTTAACCTTAAGGTAAACGACACCGTGGAATCAGGCGCTCGTCAATTTGAGGGCATTTGTAGTTATTGGTATCATCTTAAAGCTTGTTCAATTTTCTCGCTTTTGATTAAAAAAAATTACTCATCTATTTTCAACAGAAATTGATATATATATA